CTAGACATTTCTGATAGCGGCAGAATTGACAACGATTCCTTTGCCTTTTGTCGATTATACAATTCCTCTCCTCACGACACGCATATGTCAAATCTTTCCGCACCGTCCGCTTGAAGAAACCTTTGCAACCTTCACAACTGGAATTCAAAATTAAAACATTAACTGCTGAATTTAGTGTTCTTAAATATCTTTAATGAGCACTTAAAAAATCCGAGAACGGCTGTAATATTATCGCAATTGTCTACAAAGAGCTTCGAGGATGCCAGGTGGCGTAGTTCTCATGAAGCTTTACAATATCGAATTAATCTATTGCCGTTTAGTACACACATCAAGTTAACGATTTTATTGATTATTTTCGAATACATTCTTCAATTTGTATTATTTTTTAATTCGTATGATAAATAAGTCAGGTTAAAGTAGAAATGAGTTTGTATATAAAATGTAGAATCTTGCTTATTAAAAGCAAAGATACACTACCATTTTCTCATCGGTATTCAAACAGGTTGAGAACATGACTATCATACTATAATCGCATTCGATTATGAGCGATAAATTGCAAAATTGATTTATAGTTTTATAGTCGCACCGGACACTCGTGCAAAACGAATCAATTTAACGTAGTTGTGATCTATTGGAGAGCCAGACGGTCTGAGGCGCGCGGACAAATCGATTCACTCGCCGCCTCATTGTTTCATTTATCAAACGTATAAACATAACACCATTCAATACAGACAAAAGTTGTGACAAAACATTTGAACATCAGAAATATTCAAATTTCCTTCATCGTCTATTTTACCATATAAAGTTGTTGCAAAGTATGGTTTCCGGTTTTTTTTAATCTTACTAATCTTCCTAAAATTATAAATGTGAATGTTTGGATGTATGGAAGGATGAATGGATGGACATTTGTTAGAAGGTATTTCCGGAACGGCTCATCGGGTCTTGGTAAAATTTAGCGTAAATATAGAATATCGTTATCGGCGATAGCCAGTTATTTAATATACAATTATAATGTATTCTGGAATCAATGACCGAAGAAGATTAAGTTCACAAAGGTTATAAAATTAGCTAACCTTTAATTCCAATTTAAAACTAATTGCTTTAACGAAGATTTCCAACTCAACAAGTTTTAATTAAAGCCACAGATTACTCTGATTCAAATTAACAAAATTCGTAATGTTGTTATATTAATGAATCTGCTTTTTTACTGGTTAATTAATCAAATATATATGACCGTTCTATATAAATATATCGCACAATAAAAGAGAGAAAATAATGACATTTTTTTAGTAGGAAATTTTTAAGTCTTCTAAGATTCGCGTCACGGAGGCCTTATTTAGTCCTCTTTCCCTTCCCATCCTTTTTCTTATAAGGAATGGATGGGAAGTGGAAGTGGACTTTCCGGATGAGAGGGCGCATGGAAAGGGAAAATATTTTCTTACTGTGCATCTGGGTAGGCAACGCATATGAAATTTCGTATGTCTATGGGCAACGGTCACTTCGATATTTCGGCGATTTCAGGTGGCCGCTAGCTTGTTTGTCACCTTATGATATAAAAAAAATTGTTAGAGCCTCTGCCAACGACGTGTAAATGAAAGGCAAAAATATCTTAAAAGCTAAGGTACAAAGTGGACAGTTAATGTTATTTATGACTTCTAAATTCATATACGCTAGAATTGCCTCATTAACGAGAATAAAATCATGTTACTGATACAGGATATGGACAACCTTGAAAGCGGTGACCGTTCGTTATTTAAATTACAATTGAATATTGACCATATTATCAATTCACCGCTTCCAACTAAGAGGATCTTATCTCGTACCGAAGAATTTAAATTGGCAAATCATGGCGGACGTTTGAATTGCTAAATCTCTCGTGCGAAAATTCTTATAATAATGTTTTTAGATTTTATTTTTCATCGAAGGTTCCAAGAGAGGCTAGATCTAGTAAAAATCATTAATGTAGGCGATAGACAATGCAAAAAGATACAGTTACCGAAGTCGGTTTCAAAATGTCACCGATTTTAATAATAAAAAAAAATTAATAAAAAACATAGTGCATAATAATCTCATGCCTTGTCAACAATTCAAATAACAACGCATTTATTAATAATGATAACATTCAACTATTAACTGTAATTGATTTTAGTGTGTGAATAAATGTTTAATATGCAGCGCAAAAAAACTAGTTTATATACGATGTATGCGACGAATAATAATTCGATTAATTGCTCGATATGTTGACAAACGACGTTGACAGATGTTATTATCTTACTAATAATACTGGGTGGCGCAAAAGTAAAGACCCTATTTGGTTCAGCTATAACATTTTTTCTAAATTAGAAAACTAGATTTAGGTTTTTTTAAATGTATATTTGTGCCATTAAATTTCGTACCATTAGGATTTAAAGATGATGTCTTTTAAATGGTGACCTCCAGAGTTGATACACATTTGAGCCCTATTTATGACATTTTGCATAACTTGCCGTAACACTTCCTGCGATATGTTCGTTATTTCTTGACGAATGTTTTCTTTTAGAGCTGCGAGAGTCTGTGGCTTGTTCACATACACCCGAGATTTCAAAAAACCCCAAAGAAAGAAGTCTGGACTGGTCAGATCGGGTGATCATGCAGGCCAAGGCAAATCGCCAAAACGAGAGATAACTCGGCTTGGAAAAGCGTCCCTCACTAAGTCCATAGTGTCGCGCGCTGTGTGTGCCGTAGCGCCGTCTTGTTGAAACCAGATGTGCTCCAGCCCCAATTCGTCCAAACTGGGTATCAAAAACTCACGTAACATGGTTCTCCAGTGACAGTTATCGCATTGCCTCCAGCGTCTTCGAAAAAATAGGGTCCGATCACTCTGTCAACACAGATGCCACACCATACAGTAACTTTTAGTGGGTGTAGAGGTGTTTCTTGAATAATGCGCGGATTATCAGTGCCCCAGAACCGAGTATTCTGCTTATTGACATGCCCTGAGAGATGGAAATGCGCTTCGTCACTCATAACCAATTTTGAAGGAAAATCATCCTCTTCAAGGTTGAGGTTTATGACGCGCTGGCAGTAATCTAGACGAGCTCGGTGGTCAGCAGGCAGCAGTTGATAAGTCATTTGAGTTTTATACGGGAACATCTTTAAGTCTTTCACCAAAATACGCTGCAGGGTCCGTCTGGAAATGCCCAAGTGCGTGGCACGTCGCCTCGTTGATGTTTCTGGACAATCTTCCACATCTTCGCGCACAGCATCGATATTTTCAGCTGAACGGCCTGTTCTTGGTCTCCCAGACTTAGGTCTATCCAATGTTGAGCCAGTTGCTTCAAGGCGTGTGGCAAAGCGTCGAATTGTGCGACCAATCGGTGCCGGACGGTGGGGAAATCGTCGACGAAATTCACGTTGTGTCCTTATCACTGATGAATTATTCCGTAAGAACATTGACACAATTATTCCACGTTCTTGGGGAGTAAAACGGTCCATGTTTATTTTCAGTGTATTTTATATTTGTTCACTACACAATTTTCAACAACAGAATGACAGAAAATGTCATATAACAAAAAAAAAAGTATTTTCTTTAGTGCCAGTACTTTTGCGCCACCCAGTATAAATGCGAATGTTTAGATGGATTGATGGACGGATTTTTGAAGGTATATCCAAAAAGGCTTAACGGAACTCGATGAAATTTGGCATACATATAGAACATAGTCTGGAAGAACAGACGGAGTCGCAAGCGACCGCTTGTATTTCGTACAAAACCATTAATTAACACAACAGAATTGAAAATTTAACATTTAAAAAACCGGGATTTTGTAATGATAATATTTTATTAAGAATATGTTAAAAGAAATATAACATGAAAGCAGAGAAAGTAATGAAAATATATTTATAACAAAATTATGCGATGGTTATTTTTGTAGCAGTATAAAGTGGTTGAGCGTTCTCTCTCATAATATCGTGTACCTGACATAAACGCTAACGAAGCTCGTCAGCTAAAATAAAGACATTAGGCGTATATATAATAATTCATTCCCGACACCATGATCCATTTTACCTGCCCTCACGTCAGCGTAACGTATTCTCAAGGTGAAAATGAAATGTCTTTTGCATGAAATTACACGCGTCCGACGCTCGATAGAATTGTAAATGTTCTTTTTGCATTTCAATAATTTATAAACTACGAATCGTTTATATCGTATAGTTTTAGACATATTACGTGTCATTTTATATTGTGTACGAATTCAGTAACTCTTTAGGAGAATTAATGCTAACAAAATGTTATATTTTACACAGCGTACTAACTTAAATCGTCAGCATGTAATCTACTAAACATATAAGCATCGTCTAGACGTAGTTCTGTTTCAAGTGTATATAAACGTAGTCGTGGAGTGAAAAAGCAGTACATTTGTATGCAAACTCTCTAGTCTTTATTTCAAAAGAAAACTTGTAAGATTAATAAAAACAAAGCTAATTTATCTGAGCTACAAAACTGGGAGCGAGATAAAAATGCCTACGTGATGTGCTCTATCCAGATACGTTTATTAATAACATCAATGGATAAGCAAGCGTTACCATATTTACGCAACATTTACCCGGAGGGTGTAGGAGGCTTAGGTCCAAAGATAGCATAGGGAGCACCGTACAACGTTATACTTAATTGAAACAAAAGAACTTGAAAATAATATTTAAGGGTGACAAATCGGCCCTAAGTGAACATATAAAGTAATTCAATAGATAAGTAACTAGTGTTTAAATATTTACTAAGTAGCGTTATTAATGACCATTATATTAATTATATTCTTGCTCCTAATTATAATCCTATAATGATACAATTTTGGATACTAATATGAAAATGTAATCTTTGAAGATCATGAGCTACGTAATACGTTAAATATTTGTGTATTCATTTTTAAACCCGTAAAAAGATTCATTTTTGTCAAATATCATAAATTATTGCAAATAAGACGTAATTATACGAGTACCCTTTACCCTATATACACTGTAAAATGAGTTAACACGAGGTTTACTAAATTATTCGTATATTTTAAAACATTGTTATTACACAGGCCAGACAGAAACTGATCGATGGTTAATCTGATTGTAAACAATTACGCTTCAAACGATGTTCAGAATTAATAGCTTATTCAAGAGAAAAAAAACTCACGGAGATTCGCTCGCGCAAATTCAATTTTCTTAGCAAGCTATGAATAATTTAAGAAATTGCTTAAAAAAATCGACGAAGAAAGCAAAGATGTCCCGAACAACTTTTCTTAATTTTAACAAGGTTTTTTGAAGACTTCAGAATTAGAAGTTGGTGTAAATAATATTCTTAAATGTTATCAGCTTAAACAAAAATACTTAATCATAAAAACATTGTAATACCGTAATTTCTAAATAGAGTATGATATATTTAAATGAAATGTAAATTATAAAAAATCTTTATTAAAATCTTCCAATTCAATAATATTTATTGCTGTTTCCATCTTCTCCTGTATTAAACAGACAAATATTTACTAAGAGAAACAAAAACAGGACATTAGAAAAAGTATAAAAGCATTTCTATTTTCCATGTAAGAAGGAATTGATAATTTAAAAATATTCCAAATCCAATTTTAAGTAACGATTTTCTAATCGTTTAAATTTTTATTTACATGTGAAGTTAATTAAACAGATTTGTACAATGAATATGTATAATTTTTTACCTGTATACCCCATAATGTTTGCCGGAGGCGCGATCCCCGCAGATGGAACAAAGGTGTTTCGAGCCGCTAAGAGGGTGGTTAGGGGGGTAGTTACGCAGTGCGGGAGGCGAGGTGGCATCGTCTCGCAGGCCATCCAGCATCGCCGTGTCCGGCTTCATCTCCGGTGGAGACATCGGCGACATAAACCCCGCCTCCAGATTCAGCCCTGCGAACAAAAGAAACATTTATAATACGCCTACACGAAAACGATTGAGTGAGAATTTCATTCTCTTGATTCTTACATCATTAGCGAAGTGGAAGAAAATTCCCTTTATGTCAGTGAGCTATAGGTATGATAAACGATGTTAGCCATATTTTTATATACAATTTAAACCAAAAATGGTAACGTATTAATTATGTTGCATAATATAAATTATAAGTGGATAAAAGCTCTAAGCAACAGTGCATTCGTTTATATTTAAAATTGTTTTTAATATACTGATTGAGAGGTGAAAAGGTTTCAACAACATATTGCAATATCAAGCAACATAAAATGTGTTGCACTTTATTACAAATAGCGAATAAAAATAAATTCTTATCATCGTTGATAAGAATTATCCTTTAAAGTTTATCACTTTCGCCTTGTTGCCACAAGTTGGTGACGTCACAGCATAATTGTCCATAGTTCAGAGTGAAATCTATACGACCAATGATAAAGTTTTTAAAATTTCTTATAACAATACAGATTTCGAGTCGAGGAATCTATGTTATTCTAGATAACATATACTCCTCGACATATATAGAAAAAAGTTGTTGAGTAAAAGAAAGTTGTGTTATTTACACAATTTATAACTCAAGAACGGCTTTATCGTTATGGCTGAGAATTGGTGGGGAGGTAGCTTAGAGCCAGGAGAAGGACATAGGATACTATTTATTCATTTTTTTTTTCAAATTTATGCCATGAAGAGCTACTTCTTATTTAACTTACTAATATTATAAATGCGAATGTTTAGATGGATGTGATGTGGATGGATGGATGGTTGGGGGGCTACACTAATAAAGTTTTTTATATATCCACGCGGACGGAGTGGCGGGCGACAGCTAGTTTAGAATAAAGTAGTCATGTAGCCTATACACCACCGTATCCAAAATGTCTTCGTTTACGTTATATACATGGCTATCTAAAGGCGTGAGAATTTTATATAACAATTTTAAGAGATAAAACATACCATTTCAACGCCACCTAAAGTGCGTCTGAGCAAACATTTCTAAAAGCAGTGTTTTAAGTAAACAGTTTATTAGAAAAACTTATTGTAGTTTGGGAACCTCCATTTGTTTTTCGACCAATATTTTCGGAGCTGCATCACAAAAAATGCAGCGCACCAAAAGGGGGGAAAAGGAACAAAAACGTGGTCCGTCCTGCGAACGCGACACGACCGGTCCATTAGGGAGGCTGGCGAGTTAGCTCAACAAACAGCTACCATTCTTTAACAAAATTCAAGCCTGCGAGTAATTCACTTTCGTTACGATCTTGTTTTATACTTTATTATGTACTATAAATATATATGTTATGTTTACGCTATCCTTGTTATAAAATATATAATTTTTACAAATTTATACAGAGCATAATAGGAATTCTTTGGTCAAATTCTTTGTATCTTTCTTTGATTTGTACGATATTAAAGTTATAAGAATTAAAAACACTAGATACCATATTAACATACGTACGTATGACAAAATGTAATATTTATGCGTCAATTGAACCAATTCTATAAACAAGGTTGACCATTACACATTCATCAATTTTTCGACTAGCAAACAGGCTGACTGATGCGGACTTTATGGATATGACAACATCGCTTCTTATAAATCATACATATGTAACACATATTGACGCCATTTTGTATGACATAACCAACGCAAAACAGTCCTCATAGCAGGTTTCACGAGAAAATCAAATAGAAGTATACATTACAAAAAAAATAGAATTTTGAATAGTATTCAACAGCAAGATGTAATATATATTTCCATCGTTCCAATAAGTTAATAATTCGAAATAATTTTAACGTATTTACTAAAGCGATATCAAAAGACTCTACAAAGGACTTCAAGCGATCCCATTTCCAAGTAAAATATATTTAAGTCAAACATACGCCCACATCTAAGGGTGAGTAGCAAAACGGAATAAATAACTTGTTTGCACGAGGCACGAGTAGGAGAAATTTAATATGAAAAGCTGAATAACGTTACGGGCAACAAGAACTGTTGTATATTCGTTCGACTATTTACTTTATATACATAAAATGAGAATTATTGTAGATCAGTTTACATTTTATTTTTAAACTTGTACAGTATGTTACAATTATAAACTAGATCTATCTACAGTCGCAGACATACTCAGGCAAGCAAGTTTCAATTCAAGTCTTCAACAGAATAATATAAATATAATAAATATTTTCTTTCTGTGCATCCTCTCCTCCATCGATTAAAGGTAAGCAACGCATATGCAATTGCATATGTCTATGGGTAACAGTCGCTTCGCTATTTCAGTTATTTCAGGTGGCCGCTCGGTTGTCTGCCACCTTATGATATTAAAAAAAAATCAGTGGTATTTCAATATTGAATCCAATGAAATTGAACATTTTCTAATATACATTTATATGATAAAATAAGTTCGTGTTAGTGGATCGATGCGGGCCTGTCACAAAGATTAATCAATCACAAAGACACGGTGTAGTTGATGTTCTCTCCGCTGAACACGTCTCAGCAAGAAAATGTTCGCAAGAAAATAAATAAGGGTAATCTAAAATTGATTAACATATATAAATAAGTTCATATAGAATTTAACAATTTAATTTGTAGTCTACGTTTTCGATTATTCTACAACAAATAAGTAAATTAAATTATTCAAACATTCGTTAGACATTATAATAAACTGATATAAAAACGGCTAGGAAGATGATGAAATGGGCTAGAAACTAGTCGGTGCCGCCACCGGACGAATATACGTGAGTGTTTAGCCGTTTTTATACCAGTTTAAATAAGTAAATGTTTAAAAATAATTTTATATTTAAAGTTCTCAAGTTACAATGTAAGTTAACATACTCTTCCGAAATAGCTTGATCGATTTTCATGAAAAGGTCTGAGAAGCGGACACTATCTATTTTTTAATTTCGTGCTGACGGAGTCGCCGGCAACAGCTAGTAAGAATATAAGGATAACGCCGAAATTTAAAAAAACGTCTCCAACATTCTCTGGGTAAATCCCTTTCGAGATCAACTGTCGTCTCTAATGCGGCATTTTATATCTATATTTTTTTTATGAAACGCAAAGAATATTAAAACGATAATCTTTTTAGATTGCTTAAAATTTTGACGTTAAAAACTGAAAATATATAATAGAATCATAAAAAAATCAACAGTCATATCTGAGATAAGACCAAAAATGTCATTCAATGATTGTAATTTTCTATTTCACATTATAACGCCTATTTTTATATAACTTGTTTATCATTCTGTCGATTAATACGATATCTTTTTAATGCTACTATATTTTTTGTCAAACATTTAAAAGTTGTCATTCTGTTAATCAAACTATGCATTAATTCTACGAAGTATAAAGCAAAATAAAAACAAAGTTCGACATTACAAGGAAAATGATCTTAATACTGTTGATTTAAATCAGGTTGAGAGGCGGACGAAAAGGTTTCCATAGGAAGTCTCTGCAAAAGAATATACGTATTCACAAAATGTTTTATGCATGTCTGAGAAATCGGAATTTTCAACGATCTGCACAGGACGTCCTCGAGACTCAAAACCTGAAACTGGAGACGTTCGCGAATATATGTATACATATAGATTTCTTATATACATTAATACCATACATTTGTTGTAGATAAAATATCTTAAGGCAAGGTCATAATAATTTACCTCAATGAGAGTTTGTTTCATGATTATGTCGCGTATATTAACCAATTTGGTGACCTATTTGAACAAAATTGTGTATTACTTGTAAATTAGTAGAGTATTATATGTATCCTCAAATAACTGCGTAAATAGGACAGTGAAAGGTTAAATCTCTTTACATAATTGTACCTGGTTTGTTCAGAGTGATGATAGTTTTTGTACACGTATCTGCAATGGAAACTCATAAGCTCATATTATGAATGATATGTATAATGAAATCTTGTATCGTGCCGGCCGGGTGCTGACGATAAGCCGTCGGACATAATTGTCGGAGTGCAATTTCGATTTAGTTATCTGGTTGCGAGCCGCCGATAGTGTAATTATACTTTCTTTACACGCCCGTCGACAGCACCACAGCGTGTAAACCCCACCGCATACCCCACTAACTGCACTCAGACAATTTTACAGCACGCATGACCTTAATGTAATCTTCCAAATTAATTATCAGGTGAAGGTTAATAATTAAGAAACGCAATAAGGTCCTTTGTTGTGTTATAAAATTTCGAGTCAAATGTCAGACATTTATGTTATTGAATAAAAAAATCTCGAAAAACATTAAAGGTACGCGTCCATTAGCTCGCGCTGGACTAAACGGATTTGCTTTGTGTTGATGCGATGCCGGCGGCGACGATTTGTTCGGAGCGTGTTGCGAGCCGTGCGTGCGTTGCGTCCGGCGCGAGCCAATGGGCACGTACAACCATGTGGCATATACAGATATGCGAACAACATAAATGTATGTATTATAATCAAGAATCACGTTGTTATAAAACCTTTGTATAAAATATGTTTGCAAAAACGAAGATACCATACAAATACATTGTTATTCTAATTGATTCAAAAAGTCGTTTATCGAGACCTTGGAGAACTTTGAGATTAATCTCTTTGTTGTTGAATCTATAGAAATGTGTTGATATTACATCGAATAAACTTCTAACAACTTTGTATTATTGCCAAATTATTTATTCAGATATTTGATTAATGATTATTCAATATTGATCGTAAATAGGCATTACAATAGTTGGTATAAGTAATGCAACCACTTAATAGTTTATTGATAAAGCGTGTGACTGTAATTAGTCAGGGTTCTTTGCATTTTAAGTTAAATTTCCCAATCTCAAATAAAAAAAATTCAAATAAAGAGTTTGCATTTAGGAATATGCTTTTCTAAGTCACTTTTATAATAGCTTTTCCTAAAATATGTTAAATGCGTGTAACTTGAGAAATAGTTATATGACGTACTAATAAAAAATATACTTTCCAAGATAACTTTGTCTATATGATTTGGTTTTCAATAAGTTATAATCACAAGCTAGTTTGACAAAAGAATTTTAATGATAAGACGCATTGGAAGATTGCAAGCCAGTCGTGTGTAGAATTGCCAAAAGATTGTTACATGTTTTCATATATCAAACATACGGTTGACGTATCAAAGAGATATTTAAATTGTCCTTACTAAAGTAATTACTTTATTTGAATAAACACAAAAGTTATTACGCTCAGTATTACTTCGATTTAGACTATGAATATATTTGAAAGATAATATTCATATCTTTGTCCAGATTAATGTGAAAGTCAAACAGATAACTTTGTATGACAAATTCTTTTACCTAAAGATAACATAAAAATGATTCTTACTTTTGATTAACGTATCATCGCGATTGACATAGATATTTTCAAGATAAAAGAACAGCTGACCTTTTCATTTTAAGCAAAATTTTCCATACAATAGTCGATACTTTTTTATGACGTAAACAACTTTCGTGTTTATTTTTAATACTAGGGTCAAATGACTAGATATATGTACGTTCATCACCTACATCGTTGAATTAAGAGAATTTAACAATCTATGTTTTTTATTTGTCACAATAACACATTATTTACCCACGAGTTTCCACTGCATTCAACCTATTGTTATCTGTTTTACCACAGACAATGTCTCAAACAGCAGAAAACCATTTTAAGACGTCGTTCCTAAACAATAAAAAGGATCAATACATTATAAAACACATATACGTACAACACCAGACGACTTTTATGTCAATAAATATGACGTCAATAAATATAAAAAGGACATGAGCAATGTTTATATTAGCAAAACAATTTAAATTACTTCGTCTAAGTAATAATTGCAATTAGGGATAGCACACACTGATTAGAAATGTAATTTATGACAGCATATTTTAGTTTGAAATTTGAATACACTAATAATGTATCAAATATTCCTTTATTTGTAGTGTTTTTCTCCGTGTTATTAAAATCATATGAATAATGTTGTATATTATTAATTTGGTCATTGTTTACTGCTTTTTCGTTTTAAAAAACACCTTTCCATTAATTTTAAGATAAGCTTATCTGCACAAATCTGGGTTGGGTATAATTTTAGGACATTTAATTCACAACCTAAGGCTACATTTTAAGATATTATTATTTTCCTTCATAAATGTTGACAAGATAAAATAATATTAATAAAATGTGTCACTAAGATATAATTAGAATGAACATGATGGTGGGTGTAGTGGTAATGATGTGTATTTCTTGGTACGCAAACATTTGCTACATCTACATATTGTGTGTGTTATATATTGGTCGTGTAGTAGATATATTCGTGTTGATATATTTACATTGCATTTCTTCATAGTCGACGTTGGTCAGCGTAGAAGGCGTCGGGAGAGGCTGCAGCATGGTGAGGGGCGCGGGCGAGGCGGGCGGCTGCGGGCCTGGCGGCGCCGGCCGCGCCCAGTTGATCAGAGCCGTCACCGACATGGTCGGCTTGTCTTTCTTCGCCACCGACATGGCCACGCACTAACATCCTCACATCACTAAGACGCGACGCGCAATCGTAAATACTTTCTCACAGCACCACTGTACACAAGATTCGTAAGACTCGATGCGTTGGGCACGGTCACGATAAATTTGCGCCCCGGACGTGACGAGCTCGCGGTCTGAGACGCACTAGTACTGAGACCGAGCGACCGATAACACCTTCAGCGGGACATTGCGGCGGCTGATGGCCGGTTGCGCGACGCGGCAGTAGCGCGGTGCAGTGGACGGTGCGCCGTGCGTTGTCGTCTCGCAGCTTGTCCGCTGAATAATGCGCGCTTAAACTCGGCGAACTCGAAATTGACAAAAAAACGTAGCCGTCGACTTCCGCGCGGTTACCGCCTCGAAGGTCTCGCCGGTCGTTCTCAAGGTCCGTATACAATCATACGTGAATAAATCTGATTTTAAGTCAGAGAACGAGTTGCTTTAATCGATTTCATTTTTTGCTATCAAACGAAAAAATAGTGTAAGATTCAACGAAGAAATAATTTGGACATTTTATGGTTTTACGATGGCATATGTTTTATCTAAATAATAGAAGTCGGTGGCTGGCTGCTGGCATGAGAGGCGCGGCCGCCGTGGAGCATTGCCGTAATTAAGTTATACGTCACTCATAGACGAAACCCCGCTCTAGCCTCTAAATTTTCGCAATGTCACTTAACACAATTCAGCTTCAATACGGTCTCGATCGCTTTGATTGATTGAAAATGTTACATTTAATAAAAAAAGGCTCTTATTCAATGTCCAATTACGGGCGACTATATACAGCATACGGTCAACAATACGTACGTACCATAACTAAATTTTTAATCTTAAACAGCAGCTTGTTCTTACTTCTTTGACTAGTCAAGGTGAAAAATGGAATGAATTGGGTAGGAAAAATTTTAGTTTTCATAATCAAAGTTTCCTCGCTATCAGGCTCGTGAAAAGTTAACTTCAATTTTAAGTGCTCAGATGCTTGAGCACTTTAAGTTGTAATTAACAATTTCATAGCGTAATAACCTGGCGTTTAATGGAGTCTCAAGTATCATATTAAACTTAAGGGTAAACAAAGGACATGGAACAGACGCGGCCACACGTGTATAATTTACCCTAAAATGGAGTAGCTGAAAATAGAGCCTTTTATAAAAAGAAAACCACCAATATTTTGACTCAAATACGGCTTTTTTTCATTATAATATCGGATCTGTTTACTATCCGTATATGGGGCGGACGAATTTGCGACAGATGGTTTCCTTAACAAACACGACATGGCTGTGGGGTCGAACTAGTGGCACATTAATAAAAAATGTTTACGTTAAATAAAATTCATTATTCCATAGTTAACTATATTACTAATATTATAATTGCGAAAGTTTGATGTATGGTTGGATGTTTGTTTGAAAGCACATCCAGACCAGTTCAACGGATCTCTATGAAATTTGGCATAGACGTAGAACATAGTCTGAAAGAACACATAGACTACTTATTAAGTTTTTTTAGACAGCTAGTAACCTTTTATAAACGGGACGATTCATTTATATGGATATCTTTTATTGCGACGTATACCAAAATAGAAGTGTTAAGTATTGTGCAATATACTGCGCAGTTTTGTAAAGGAACGGTATTCATACTTGAGACAGATTGCTTACCGGTCCGCTTGCATTTCAAAACCATATGTATAACTAAATACAATCCTTACGTCCGGATTTAACATTCTTTTGAGATTACGTAAGTTTAGCCTCGGATTAAATTCAACATTAAAGTAATAACGCGGTGTACGTGATCAATATAAATAAGATATATTTAGTCTCATAACATTGAGAAATAAACTAATCTTTTTTTATGCTATTAAAAAAATCATACATTGGGAGTATGTAATGACATTCCCGTATTCGTAATTTCATAATAGTGAAAGATTTTATATTTATAGTCCTCGTTAATAAACAAAGAAAACGCGCAAAACCCGAGACGTAGGAATATCGAATTTTCTCTTGTTTATTATGAATAAAATGCTAACGAAGAGAATGGAAAAAGACATTAGAGGTAACAGACGTTCATCAAACGTTAGATAACAAAACAATTCTTTTCCGCCATTAGACGAGTAGACGAAAAGTCGGAAGCTTTTATTATAATGGCAGTGATGGGCCACACAATAGGTATCTCGAACCGACAGTGACTAAGCATACGCCCGACGGTCAACCAGTATTATTATCAACAAAGAAAACACATTAAAGTATCGTAGGTATTTCGCAATGTTAATTTGCTATACAACAAAGTGATAAAGAAAGGTCGACTTAATTAATAATATAACAATATCCAATATCAATATCCACGCAAAACCTAACAAAGGAATGAAGGCGTTTTAATAAAATGCTAATATCACATTTATATCATCGTAAACTACGAACCTAACACGGGTTATATATCTTACAAGAGAATATGTTTTTGTTGCCCATACAAAGAAAAAAAACAATCAAGATTAGGAAAATTGTTAAAAAGATAAATCAGAAGTGAGACGCTTGCAATCGAAAGAATTCCCTCACTTTCTTTCACTTTCGTCGGAACAGCGCAGTGTGTATGTGTGCCGGTGCATGCATGCATTCGTGCAGCGGGCTGCCCCGCCCCGCCCTACGCGACAGCCCCGCGCTCGCCGCGCCGCTATCGATCCGCGCCGACCTTGACTTGACGCACGCCCGCCGCTTACAATTAACATTGACAATAGCGAGGAGCGACGCACGCGCACTGCCCCGACACACTTTTACATACTTTCATTTTCATTCAGCTAGTTTGAAAGCCATAACCTATAACCATAACCGGCCTTATTTTATACATAAAAGAAGAACAAAGCGAACGTCGGTGATGACGTCTTTATATAAAATTACTGTTCGCCGGTTACGCAACGAAAAGCAAAAACTATATAGGTACAAGTGGTATTTATTATAACATTATAATATTATTTAAATCCTATTGAGCAAGTTGTTTCATTGTTGGAGACGTAACACTACGGTGACAATAATTTCAGTGATGTGCTAAAATATAGCAGCATCGTCAGACGTGCGTCCTAGACATGACCCGGCGGGGCTGGGGCCAGCGGGGCGGGGAGGAGGCGCAGTGAGTCAGGCGAAGGCGCGGGGGCGAGGGGGGCCGCGTGCACTCGCCGCGAGATATAGGTAAACGGAACGCGGAGGAGCGCGCCGCGGGCCGCGGGGGCCTGCTCTGCGACCTTGGAGATTCTCTGACGACTACAGGTGGTTTTTGTTTGCACTCGGCTAATACGAGATCTCGCCGCGATTCCCACCGGCCATTCCGCAACGATCTCGTCCTCGGACATCGGACGACCAATGTGGAGGGGGGAACAACCGGAACTCGATTCGAAACAATGCTCCTTCCATTTTGAACACAAAGGACAAACGCATTATAGTCACGTCTACAGCACGTTAAACATCAAGATTGCCAATCAACTATTTACATAACTTCAACAGTGAAGTTTGTAGTTTCGAGATTACTCGTATTTATTTTAATTGAACTTATAGATATCATTCCTATATATTTCCCAAGCAGATTCAGTATAATGGTAAACATAATGTGCAAGTTGGTAAATGACACGAAAGATTTATGATCAGCAATATGGAGGACTTTACTAAAACTAATTCGCAAGAGGCCGAGTGGCAATGAATTATTCCAATGTAAGGGATGGTGCAAAATTACTTTGGCGCGAAATTCTTAGTTGTAAGAATGATAAACTCGTGGTTGATATAACATATAAAAGCAGACGACATGATAATTTAGGCATAAAACGCGCATCGGTGCGTAAAGTTCTATAGTTTTGATATAAATGTTTGGTATGTAGGCAAACTGACAGCGCAAACAAAACGCGTATTTTATAATTTAGCATTACATAATAGCGAGCGCAGTGTGTCGGCGAGAGACCTTGGCCGTGACCAAGCCGAAGAGAAACACTTCCCGAGGCGTGACGCCGCCGCCCCCGCGCCTCGCACACCGCCTCGCACCGCCCGCGCCTAGGGACGCTAACGCTCCGCGCCGCGTCGATAACAATTATACGCTATTATTGATGTATCAACCGGTTAATGGAATTGAAAGTCGAAAAATTATCAAACCAGTTATTGAAATTAACAGACTATTCGGATTTTACGATCAAAAAAATCACCTGTGCTGCCACGATTTGCTAAATACACCTCAAAGTTTATACCTTACAAAAAAATCGCAACAGAAAAATAAAGACATTCAATCATTAATGTGTTTGTTAGCAAATTAAGTACTTATTCGAATGCTCGTAATGTTTTATCGTAATTTTAGTCAACGTGTACAACATTAGAGTAATACGGTTTGACTGTAATAAGTCTTGTTCAAAAAGTAAATCAAGCAATTAGAATTCAAAAAGTGAGCTGGCACGAGGGCGGCAATGAATTCAAATAAACACGAAGGCCTTGACAGTGATACGATCTTCTCGGATGGCTTGCTCAAATAATAAAAACATGTGCGCGCACTTGTTTGCGAAATAGAATCTTTTTGGAATAGACATAATTAGATGATATTAATTAATAAAATGATTTATCTACATGATACGGATATCACAACTGCATCAACATAAGTATTCTTTATCTATTAGCTAATGAGACACTTTGTAATATAGTATGGTACCAATGAGCAACAAATATTCTGCATTCGGGCCTAACTAGCCGATACTAGGTCGATAGAAGTCTATGCTTAGTAGTTGTATAAGAACTCATAACAAAAAAGTATTTAGTTTCTACAACTGTAATTTATATTTTTCAATGTATTTTAGAAGCAAAAGAACGGTAGGAACAAGGTAGTCATTGAAGCCCATGAACTCATGAAATCGGAATGTACAATAATTTAAAAAAACGTCTGTTTTAAATTTCCTGGACCAAGTGTCAACTGGTATTCGCGTTTGTCCACGTGCGCAATAGTCGCTTGTTACCTTATGAAATAGAGTCGAACATAATGATAACAAATGCGATAACTCCGAGATAAACTTAACAAAACATCTCTATCGACAATGTTAATATTAATAAAAACAAGTGAAAGTTATCAGGGTTGGATGATATTTAATGCCTTGTGTGATTTTTCCTTTTTTTTCTGAAAAAGGTCAAAAGTACTGGCATAAAGTCAAGAAAATATACAAACATTAGTTTGTTAAACTGCATAGTAGTCTCTCAACAATTGGAAACAAGAACATGATTTTTTTTAAACTATGACATAATTTGAATAAGAAATAAAAAACAGCGACAAATTTTTTCGCCTAATCTTACATTTTACCTCTACTTCAAGAGCTATTGTTTTATTTATTAAAAATTGTAATCGTGTATTCCAAAAATAGGTATGTATGTTACATTCCTGCCCATATCGAACGACCAATGAGACCGTATCTTTGTCGCAAAGAATAAAACTAACACAAAAAACATTACGTTCGGTATTTTACTGAATTTCATTTCGAAGTACCAAGTGAACTCAAACAATACCCAATGCTATTGTATTGAAATTATAATGTTGTTTTTGTTTATTACAGTTTGCACATTTGCCGATCTTCGGAGTCTGCTTTGGCACGCTTTCGGCAATCGGTTACATCACCCTGACGTCAAACTATCAGAAGAGGAAACTTCTCTGTTATCGCAATAAAAATATGTAAATATATGTATAGATAGATGCAAATGCATTGACTAGGACATCTAGATAAAAGTTATTCAGTACATACAAGTCAATACACTCGCAACCTTGCAATGCTCTTTACGACTCGTGTCAGATAAAGACATAGGGCATAAAAACATAACTTTGTAAGTGCGCAAAAGCAAAATTGGAAGGGACTCTCGGTGTAAATCCATGTCCGGACGCATGACAATACGTCACAGATAACAAAACAAACTATTTGAGACACATCAATCCAGTTCCAAAACGAAAAGAAAACCTAAAGGAAAAAAACGATATTTCATGACCAAGTTATAAGTCTAGACATTATCGACGAAACTCATTGACATCGAATTTACTTACCCAGATATAATATTGGTTGATATTGGAATTACAAGAATTGATATTATGATGTTTCGAGTATTTAAATTCGTTTGTATTGTATTGATAATTTAGAAGTATTGCGCGACATCTAACTTTTAAAACATTGAATAGATAGTTAAAACCGTTTCAAAAACAGACAATTTCTCTCCGAGTTTTACATGCCTAATTTTATCTGTATCAAGTTTTTTTTTAATTATAAAAGCAGATCTCCGTGGATCTATGATCGTTAATAGGTATTCCTGCAGCATCCAGTATAAAAGAGTCCGGGGCGCAAAGTAATCAGCGTGACGTCACTCATCATAAATAATGTTAAACAAATTACAATGTATGATCGTGTCGAATGCAGGTTGCGGATCGTGCATCGATTTTCGAGAGAGTCGCGGACGACGACGAACACGCGACGTCAGCGAACGGCGTCGCTGCTACGACTGACGGACCGCGCCGCCACCCCGGCGCTCCCCGCTCGCTCAGTCGGTTTGTTTTGCTGTATTTTCGTTGTTAATCATTCTCCTTGACCTTGTGCGACGTTGAGTGGACCACTGCATACGACTCCGCACCGCTCGCCCCACTCACCGCCGCCCCCGCCGGGCCCGATGCATCACACGTGCTAATTCCCAAATTGCATTCATTGCCTGCATCTTGACCTCTAGGAAACGCCTTTTTATCATTACGGTACAAGGGTAAGCTAACATAACCGCACGCTCCTGTGTGGAAATTTTATCCTCGCAACACAAGATCAACTAAAATAGTTTTTATTGTTCTTGCACTAAGTTGTAAGGATTTTTTTGCAGTCGCAACTAATAATACAAGACCTCCACGAACCCACAGAAAGGTAATGTGGCCAGACCTATAGACCCAACGAAGCTGTGTACACCTTCAAAAAGACCTAAGCTTTTTTTACTGTATAAACTTCAAGGTTTTAAATATTATAAGAAGGGAAGTATATTAAAAAATGTACACTAGAACCTTTACTGTTGTGTTAAGCATATATTTCAGGTGTTAGGAGTTGGCAAATGCTGAACGACGCATTGCTAGGCGTTACTTTAGAAGCTTCGTGTTAATTAAAACAATAATTATAATTTGTAATAGAGCTGTGTTTAGATCAACCCAGATGGAAGTCTGTGGGTTTCTGCCTACCCCTCTGGAATACGTGCGTCAATATGATAATGATAAAGTCGGAAGACATTTATAATGACATAACATACAGAATTTAACCTTTTACTGTATTAATTTATTAAATTATGTTTACTGTTAAAAGGAGAAATATACAAAGAATGCAGGGAGATGATAATGTAGGTCATTATGGCTTGGCAATCTGATTATAAAAGAATTTAAGAATGGTGAAGGAGTTCAATCAAAGAAAATTAGTAAAGATCTTTTCGTCTGCTATTAAAATTGCTTTAGATAAATGAATGTTGGAAAATAAATATTAGCTCATTTCAAGTAAACTGTAAACAAACGCCATCTACATCACCCAAGTAAACTAATACGAGAAAACGCCATCTATATGATAACAGTGAAGTTAATGAGGCGGCAAGTTTGTACAATTTAAATATTTTTCATTTTAAGCAGAACATGTAAAAAAACATCTCAAATGGAAATTAATTAGTTTTTTAGAAAAGTAACGCTGTTACTAAAGTTTAAAATATTTAAAATATTTTTTTTTACCATAATATCACATTTTAATTTAACACCAAAAGGAATTTTGAAATTGTACAGGTTATAAAATTTTTGTTTTATATTTTTTTAATGTAATATTAAGTTCTACCTTAACTTGGCTGGTTATAAACATTACTATTGAATAAAATATAAGCTGTTGGCTAACTTATGAGTATGTAGGAAAATTCCTAAAATATGAAGTATTTAATTGAAAAAGAAGATAAAAAATATTAGTTACATGTGACATAAATATGAATATAATATTTAACAAATATATGTACAAAAACACATAGTTTAATGTTCACATTTAAGTCTTCATTTTATTTATTTCAACTTTTGGAACTTGAAAACTTGTATTGAAATAATATAACCATATATATTGTATATTAAAATTACAATTAAAAAGATTTCACTACTATTTTTTATTATTATAGATACTCTGACCATATTTTTATTACTGTCTAGTGGTATAACACAGACCAAGTAAACTTTTTTTAAATAAATTGTAACCAAAGTAAACTTATTAAAATGTGTATAGTATTTTATGTAATTAAATAATTGATTATATACTATATAGCAATTTATAATACACTATTAGATACTAGAAACAGGTCTAGAATTGAAAAAACTGATATGAAGATAATGAAGCCATCAGTTTATATTTTGACTAAGGAAATAACAAAAAATCAAAATACATAGAAATTATACTATTAAAAGAACTTATAACTTACAAGCATTTTTCTAAATATAAAAAATATTATATTATATTATGAGAAGCAAAACTTAGAATTAGGTAGAAGTTAAGGAGCAACTATTTGTAACTCTTCATCAATTTTCTATTATTATAATAGAATAAAATAAACTTGCCTGAGTCTCTAGAGGGCTCCATCCTCAGCAGCAATTTATTTATCGCCTACAATACCACTTTCATATATTAGTTCAGTCACAACGATGAACCTGTCAGTAACAAGGTCGTTGAACTAAATATACCTACAAATGCAATTATATCCACACTTATAACCCAAAACCATATAGATTCTGTGAAAAACACTTGTTTTATAAGACCATGTATATTAAACTGGAATTACAATAACAATAGATTAAGTTCAAGAAACACAATATTTTAAACTAAAAAAGAATCTATTTCCTTTTCCTTGCACAAGTGACAAAACCAAAAACATATAGCGTCACGTCATCCAAACGTCACTGTGGTTGTTATTTGTTTGCGTATAGACCAAAGATCGCACGATCAAACTGTTTTCGAAGTAAAATTTGTAAAACTTTGTAGTTTTTAGAAGAAATTGAAACATGTCCACATATTTACGATTTATAAATTTTACAGTAAAAGGAAAGTGTGTTAGGTACGATACAGATTTTTTTTTAATTTGTGATGTGGGCAACACTAAATATCTTGCCAAGATCTTGCCCATTTCCCATAAATTAAGGATTATTCTCGAATGATGTATTTGTTGTTACTGCTATCGCTGTTAGTTCTGTCAGAAGATACAAAACCTAAATTGTTATGTAAAATTATATAAAAAATTACAAAAGCTTCAGTTCAAGGATCCTGTGGCAATGACACTATTGGACATTGTGTTACTGTCACATACTGTTAAATTTAGTTTGGCTTATTGCTTGGTTGGTCTGTGATGTGGAATTAATAATTGTGATTTTTTACAGAATGGGTAAAATATTTGAAAATCAGTTGGTAAATTTAACAATTTCATTGGCAACCCAGAAGTATGTTTAAGAAGTGAACACCGCTATCGTATAAATAGAATGAACCTTGTCATTCCTGTCATTATTCTATTTAGTTAGGAATTTAATGTTCGTTTTACGGCTTTTGGATTCATAAATTTATTTTATTTTAATCTGAGTTCTGAGTGTACAGTTTAAAAACTAGGGTAGTGTAATAAGTATTACAGTAAAGACTAATATTTTTACAAACATATCGTGTCAGTAAATAAGGAAGATAATATGGAAAATAAATGTGATTTTCAATATCCTCATACATTTATTTTACTTGGAGCGTCGGGGGATTTAGCTAAGAAAAAGATTTATCCTACAATATGGTACTTATATAGGGATAATCTCTTACCGAAAAGCACCAAATTTGTAGGTTATGCCAGAACCAAGCAAACAATAGAAGACGTACGAGAAAAGTGCAAAAAGTACATGAAAGTGCGGCAGGGAGAGGAAGAAAAGTTCGAAGCCTTTTGGGATGCTAATACTTATGTATCAGGATCTTATGACAAAAGAGTGGATTATGAATTTCTTAACCAACATATAAACAAATTTGAAAAAGGCCCTGTTGCAAATAGAATTTTTTATTTGGCTGTACCTCCTACAGTATTTGAAGAAGTAACAGTTAACATTAGGAATGCATGCCATGCTATAAAAGGATTTACTAGAGTTATTATAGAGAAGCCTTTTGGAAGAGATGATGTGAGTTCAGAGAAATTAAGCAACCACTTGACTGGATTGTTCAAAGAAGAACAAATTTATAGAATCGATCATTACTTGGGCAAAGAGATGGTACAAAATTTGATGACCATAAGATTTGCTAACCAAATTTTCAATCCTTCCTGGAATAGAGAAAATATTGCATCTGTACTAATATCTTTCAAAGAACCATTTGGAACGGAAGGCCGTGGAGGATATTTTGATAACTTTGGAATTGTTCGGGATGTGATGCAAAACCACCTTCTTCAAATCTTGTCATTGGTTGCTATGGAAAAGCCAGTTACAATGCATCCAAATGATATTAGAGATGAGAAAGTAAAGGTACTGAGACACATTCCGCCCATAAAATTAAGTGATATTTTGATTGGACAATATGTTGGAAACCCCAATGGACAAGGTGATGAAAAACTAGGCTATCTGGATGATCCAACTGTACCAAAAGATTCCGTCACTCCTACATATGCATTGGCCGTTATGTGGATTAATAATACAAGATGGCAAGGAGTTCCTTTTATACTTCGCTGTGGAAAAGCACTTAATGAAAGGAAAGCAGAAGTAAGAGTGCAGTATAAAGATGTGCCTGGTGACATTTTTGGTCACACAAAGCGGAATGAACTGGTTATAAGAGTTCAACCAGGAGAAGCTTTATATTTAAAGCTTATGTGTAAATCACCAGGAATGAAATTTGACTTGACTGAAACAGAACTTGATTTAACATACAGCTTACGTTACCGAGGGGCAGATGTACCAGATGCTTATGAAAGGTTGATATTGGATGTGTTTACTGGAACTCAAATGCATTTTGTTCGTAATGATGAATTGAAGGAAGCTTGGCGTATTTTTACTCCAGTCCTCAAGGACTTGGAGGAGCACCATATTAAACCAGTTCCTTATGTGTATGGTTCTAGAGGGCCTTCAGAAGCTGATGCCAAGTTGGCTGAAAATGATTTCAAGTATTCAGGCTCTTACAAGTGGGAGAAACCAACACTGGAATGATTTGGATTGGGACCACAATGGTGATGGTATTTATCAATTCCTATTTTTATATCATTGACAATATGCTTGCATAATATTAATATTAAGTATCTTTATAGACTTTTTTGAATCTTGCATTCCATTTTACTTGTTGTGAATGTTTGTTGGTAGAGGTCATTTTAAGGTTATTACAATCAATGTTACTTTGCCTATACATAATACTGTAATGTAGTCTTATATAATAATGACTGACAATGTTATTTTATCAATTTATAATCAATAAAATTTCAGAAATATCATCACAATTTTCCACAACTAAGAATTTAATCACTTAGTTATTATGCACAGGTCATATTTATCACCTTTAAATGTAAATCAATTGTTTTAATTTAAAGTTCCTTATCATTGTAAAGTTACTTTGTGAATACAGAAAGAAAGTTACAATTTATTTCCTATTAAGAATTAAAATGCATTTTAACCTACAGTCTTTATCTATAAGTGGAAAATTGAAGTATAGTTTATCAAATAATTTACTCTTCAATCTATTGTTATGTTTTATGTGATATTATTATTGAAAATTGTTCCATAAATTTTTTAAATAAAAATCTATTAAGTATTTTCATAATATCTATATTTCGTATTTGCAATTTGCATTAAGGAAATATAAATACACAAAGTATTTGCAATTATGTCTTGAATTATACAATTTAATAAATCCACGGAGAACTCTTTTTAAATTGTGTTTTTTTGAACTTTATTGCGTTGTGAAAGTGAAAATTATTATTTTAAGAATGGATGTTTTTCTATGTTAATAAAGAAGACATATGGTTTGTGGAAAAGACCATGAAATGGTTATTTTTTGATGGATTTACACTATTTCATACAATAAAAGAATGTAAGCACAAATGTATTTCATTTGCATAATAACTCATCATTAGCTCACTATATGTCCCCACCAAGGGGCTCGGAGTCTACCCTAAGTAAAGGGTGATAACTAATACTAACATAATAAATATTATGTTTTCTACTTAAAATACTATGACCCCATTTATATCAAAATATCTTTTCTTTTAGTTTTTTTTGTTTCCTTATCAGTTATCAGCTGTGCAAATACATCATATATACGACACATATATATATTTATTCGATATTATATACAGACATTCCAATTTTATTAGATGTATAGATTTATTATGAGGTGTTAACTTTTGAAGTATATGCAACCAGGGTATTTAGTTGTTTTATCAATATGAGCTAGTCCATAAATGATTGGTATTCAACGAGAACTAGTCCTACGTTTTGCAAATTAATTAACCTTAAAATTTTACGCGTAACGATTAAAAATATACAAGAAACTGAATAAAAAGTTGCCCTTGCTTCCATCACTATGACGTCATTTACAGATAATAATGTATGGAACAATGCAGTGGCCTTCACTTTTCTTGCAAGGGACTCGTTAAACCAAAGCGGTCATTACATTTGATATAACTTATTGTGTTAGCCGTGGATCCCGTGTAAATATGTTCCTGTAGCATTTTAAAAGGTATATATATTCGATCATGATTTTACAATCAGTAAGAAATAAACCAAGAGAAAGAAGACAAAAAATGTTTAATGTTACATAAAACGATTTACTAATATGTAATCTGTGACGTCATCGTACTTAAAATTCGTGTCATTGTCCCCGAGTAGTAAAAAGCTTAGTACTACATATATTATATGTTTCCTCTTCTAGCTTATTGTGGCTTGTATGACTCAAGCTTATGTCATCGTTGTCTTGGGTTGTTTGATCAAGGCAAGTCGAAACATCCAAGCACCGTTAACACTAACCAGAGGATGAAAATTTTTTGAGTAAAAATGTATCCAAACAAGTAAAGGAATGTCATTCAAATATTTTAACAAACATGATCTTTAAATCTATATTAGGTCTAATGACAATATACAACTGCAAAGCCGCGACGTGAGCGTGACTATCATATCCAAGGTCAAAGTCTAGACATTTGACAGCCTACTTTGCACCTGCACTTGCCTAAGTAAATTCATGCTCTTATACAATTCAGATTTGAAATTTTAACTAAAGAATTTCGTTTATACAATAAATGTTAGAACAAATTATTACAATTACTGTACAATTCTACAGTAAATATGTTTACAGAATCTATCGAATTTATTTTTGATGCTTAGAAGCATTAAAGCGTTACCAACATTAATTAAATACATATTTAATGATGTCTTAATTATTATGCATACGATAACGGACGAGACTATACTGACGTTGCGGTTATCAGTTAACGTAATGACTTTATAACATGGATAGACGTATATTTCAAGTTCAATAACAATTCTAATTAAACCGGCCCAGAGGCTAACGCATGTTGTATAAAAGAACGAACTCATGTTGTACATCATGTACAGGCGGACTTTCACATCTTATGTGACACAAGCGAACGAATGCTTAAAAAATCTATAGAAACGACAGAAAGCATGAATGCAAGCAAGAAAGTTGTGCAAGCGAAACATCGCATGTTGTACAGGCAACAGTCATGGGTAATCCAACTAAAATTGAAGATCTGCAGATCAGCTCACGGTTCATATATGTAAAGCAGATGAGTGAATGGAATCACTCAACAGCTCCCCTTTTTAATTTAAACCCTCACAGAGTTATGATTTGCATTTTCAGCCGCGAACTGTGAGTCATCAGGCAGCTCGCGGCTTGTCGGGTCACATGTTATAATATATCGCGATAAGATGAGAGCATTTAGATGTTGAACCGCAGCTCAACGTTTCATTTTTATATGAGCTGAACTTTTGAATCGCTTTAGAGCTGAATAACAGGTGGCTACAAGAGAACCATCGCATGTTTTACAAATTAACGAACTAACTCATGTTTTACGAATCACCAAGAAACTCATCGTATTATGCTCAGGAGTGATAAATTAATTTGAACAAAGTATTATAATTCTATTTGCCTATATATATCAAAAAGTTGATATTTGTATTTGAGAATAAATATTGGTAACCTTTGAACTCTTGATGATTACACAAAACTCTTTATCATTTTCTACATAGGGGGCAACGACAACTTTTGTTCTACAATACTATTCTAGTCCAGACACAGATCACCTGTTGGATAGTAACGAGGAAGAGTTTTTTTGGGTTAAGTGGAGGTCATGCCGCGATTTCGCACTGCCAATGAAAACATTCATGCAATAATACAAAAGCATATTGTTATATCCCTTGTTGTATCTAAAAATCTTTTATAACAACATTTTTTTTAAACTTTAACAATGCACTTGGTTTGTGCACATTAGTCTAACTGGCAATACTAACAAAAGGAGCCAAAAAATTCCTAACTTCTTTCAAAAGTCCTCCATGTTGCAACTCCAATGAATTGATTACCAAATTATGAACCGAGTTCTCGTAGTAGTTATAAAAAATTTAAAAAATAGCAAATTAACTAACATGACTTGACAATATTCGTGATATTTTTTATGAAATTTCGATAACATGAAAATGGCAGCACTAAGCCGTGCAGCTGCCGCTGCCTCATTAGCCAAAACATGACGCTGTCAAGTTGACATTGTTGATTGTCGTCCAGTTGTCAAAGTATTTTATTTTATTCTCGGTGTAATTTATGATTTACGAGTATAATAATTTAATAAGTAATAAGGAAACATATTTAGCCGCAGAGAAAAAATACAAAGGCAACTTAAGTAGGATACAAAAAAATTAAATGACATTAGCTCATTTGATTTAGTGACGTAGATGTAAGATGTTGCAATATCAATAGGGATTGTTGTGCCCTCATGGTGGGTTTTTTATTGTTAGTCTGCTTGGTCAAGCTTTAAGTACCTGATAAATTGTTTTATAAATACGTCCAAAAATTTATAAGTAATTAACTTAACGTAAAAGTCTCGGGTGAGTTGTATTTCTACAATCTAAACATGCTTTTGATAAATCAACGAAAGTTTTTTTTCTCAACAGATGAAAAAGGTACTAAATTATAGCTTAGGGAATTTAATTTTTCCGTAAACGATTTGAATTGGTTGGATATTTAACTCGAGACTGGCAATATAACTTGTCTGTCAGCTGAGTTTAGTTTACGTTCATTTACGTCAGTTTACGTCAATAGAGCAATGGTGGTGTTGACCTGAAGAATTTTATAAGCTTTTGTTCAGAGTACTAGGCGTTTATTTTGTCCTATACTCTTACACAATTGCATTTTACAAATTAATGTGTTACCGTTTAATAATGTCTTAAATTGAGAAATGTCCTAAAGTATCCTCAGATGATTCCTAATTTTTGTTTGTGTAAGTATCTTTGTTGTTCAAACGCAAAAAACAACACGTTCCATTTTGATGGTCGCGAGCTACAAATTATATATTTTATTTTAGATAAATGTAATGTGAACATTATTTTTGCATAACGTTTTAACTTAACAAGATAATCGATATCTTACATTATTTAAGTTATGTTTATTTTGTAAAGTTGTGTTCTCGAAATTTTTGACTCGAGTAATGTTTTTTCCGTATAACATTTTTTTATATTATATATTTCTTAAACATATGGATTTACTACGTTCTATTTTATTACTTATATAAGAAGCAGAAATTCGTAATAAATCAGTAGTTATTTGAGGTCAGTGTGATAAAGCGTAAACACGATTTATTTAAGGTAAAATGTCGCAGTTTATCACTTAACATTATATAGCAATATTTCTATCACACTTAAGACTACGCAGCCCTTAATACTTGATATGTATTTACTAAATTTATTTTATACCTATTAGTTTTTTTGGACTAAGGGTAAGGGGACTGTTTGGCTTTGTAATATTTATATATTAGATAACAAGGTCTCATTACAAAATTACAAAAAAAAAAAACTTGTATTATTAATAATTTAGTTATCTGTTACAGGTTTGTCTAGTTGGTATTTCAATACCATGAAGATATATTAAACATTGTCTTAGTTTAGTTTTACATAAAACTATCAAAATGCTTTATGTGTTCCATGTGGACGCTGGTCAAATGACCACATATGATATGAACCTCACCTTGCAAAGGTAAGTACAAGACATTGTATTTTAAATTTATAATTTAAACTGATCTTGTATGTGTGTGTGTGTAACTCCTAATTTAAGGTAGAATCAAACTCCAAAGTATATGAGCTATAAATATGTCAAAAACACATATATTTTATTTCAGTGTGGCCAACTTAAAACTTGCTATAGAGAGGAAAATCAAAGTTCCAGCAAATTCTCTTGTCCTCCTTGTGAGTGGAGGAGAGGTGTTACAATCAGATCACATAGTGTCATCTTACAGTGCAGGCACTGACACTAATCCTATATACATGTTCAGCAAACCATCAGTAAAAGATAGTCGCTTGAAACAGTCATGTAAGTTATATTGTGTAAATAAATATTTGTTGTAAAACAGACATTGGTTAAAATAATAATAACAACCAAACATTGAAATCTGTAGAGTTCAGTAAAATGCTGCATAAATTTTGTCATTTAATATTTACATATTAAATCTATCTTTTATTGTATCAACAATGTTTTTAGTGGTGGGTGATCTCAGTCCAATTGTGGAACTGAGTACAGGAGCGTTCCGTAGTGAGACTCGAAGTGCATTTGAAGGAAAGTCTATTGTTGACTTGAGGAGTTCAGTTGAAATGTGCTGTTCGTTACCACCAACTGTTCACACTGTTATATCATGCGCAACATTAGCACAGCAGTTCAGTGACCTTGCTCATGAGGTGTCCAGGAGTTGTGACCAACTTGTTCTGGAACAGCATTTGCAACATCAGGTATGTGAAAGGATTTATTACGTAATTGTAACATGGGTTGTATTCCTAAGAGAATATTTGAAAACTTATTCAGTGTTGATTTATAATTTATCATCATTAGCCATTGCTAATTTATATTTTTTTTAATCAACTTCCATTTTACACAGGGTTGGGCAGCTGTTGTTGCTAACTTAGAAGATATCTACAGTGAATTTTGTGAACGGTCGAAAAGTTTCAAAGAATCATTTCGAAAACAACGTCTAAAAAAGGAAGAGTATCATGAAATGTTAAATACGTAAGTAAATATTTACATGTTTTTAACTTGAGTACCTATAGAGATATTAAAAAAAACATATGTATAATAGTATTACATATCTATTTTTACATACAAAATTGTTAACATTATTTCTCATTTGATTGTTACTTCGATCAGCATATACATGAAAACTTATTTATATGTATTTATACATATAAATAAGTTTTCATGTATATGGCTTTGAAATTTAAATATTGATTTCAAAATAAATTTAATCATTTAAAACGCATATACAATGTCCCGTCGCTTAACCCTGGCCTTAGTATTAAACTGGTTTACCTTTGTTTAACTAAAATTTATGTTAATACATATTACGTGTAGTTTTACTTAACTCTATTCTTTATTGTTCACTCTGTAATTGTTCAATTCAATATATCAATGTGTGATTGTTGTTTCAACCAACTTCTTTGTTTTATAGACTCAATGACGTATTAAAAAGTTTAAAAAAGATCCCAATTCTCCCGGCGCTTCAATTACACGCGGAAGCGCATCGATTCTCGGCTTTCGATGTATTCGAGGAGACGGACTTTGAGGGACATCATTACATAATCAATCAACCTTTAGACAATAGTTCGGAGAATCGAGCGTACCAGGATTTTGGTGTTGAAGCGTTTAAATTGTCTGAAGAAGATGGTAATATTTATTCATTTTATTTTTTAATTCATCCCTCTGTAAGCCATACTCAAAGTTGTTTAGTGATCACAAAGGAGCCCTTATTGTAGATATAATATGAGAAATCTTTTAGTTTAACATTTTAATGACTGACTGTATTAGTTATTGTTACATTTGATTTTTCTTTTATTGATAATTATAATGTGCCCTTGTGAAGGTCTTGGATCTATTTGCATTTTTAATTGTACCTGCCTTGATGATTGTTCCTAGGTATTCTTGGAAGCGTTCCAAATACAGTTTCACTATCTTTCATCTCAATACCACTTACAACATCTACCTACATCATACAAATGATTAAAATTCCTTGTAAATTTTGTGTGATTTTTTAGCAAATCATATCAACTCTTAGAATAATTTAAAGTCATATTAGCAAACTCTACAATTTCTCAAAACTTAGGCTTACACAATAGTAAACAATTCAATGATTTTTTCCTCTGGATGTTTGTGATTAAAGACCAAGGAAAGTATGGATGGATTTGATGACACATAGATAAATATAGTATAGATAATTAGTACATTTTGTTTACTATTATCGACCCTCCATAGAGATAAGGGCAGGTCGATGTGATGTTTGTGATTGAAGTAATTTTTTGTCTTCCATTTAAGTTTAATAAATATTTATTCCACAGTTTTTAACCAAAAAAATCCATCAACAAGTAAAGAAGCGGAATCCTCAGAAGGTATACCACAGACTGAGGAGTCAGATGAAGGTGTTTTGTTTAAGGCTAATTCATACGATGGCAAAGATCAACCAACCTTGTTACATTGGATACTGGCTCAAGGGAATAAAGCCTCCTTACAAGATATCTTAGATTACTGCGAAAAAGGATTAGCTTTGGTAAGTTTTAAATGCTAAGCTCTTGATCTTATAATATAAATTAAATTATATTGGTGTGCTGTAGTCGGAATGTTTTATTTTTAATTGCATGTTATGTTTATTTAGATTTAAAATCTATTATATTTTTTTCCCGGGAATTAATTTATGTACCTTTCAGAAATTTGTCTTTAATCTTTATGTATAAAGTCAAACCAGGATAAGAGAGAGTTCAGAGGACTGTGTTATTTTTCTCGCACATAAAGGTTTTTCTTTAACCTGAGTTTTTCGCATGTTAAGGTTGTCCGTCGGAACCAAGCATCGACTCTCTTATATAGGTTTCTTGCTTATTCAGCTATCAATCATATTTTTGTTGCAAAATTCTTTTTGTATATTTTGATATCTTAAATCTATAAATATTGTTAGGATTAAGAAATTAGCAACATTAAACTGTTATCAGTCAATACACTTGCTACAAAACTTGTGTATTAAAACTTTTTTAATGTCGTTGAACTGTGCAAATATTTTATGAATGTCCTAGTGGCTTGGATTAATATTTAAGTAATTTTTTTAATCCTACAACATGTCTCAAACAAAGAATGTGTATGAAGCCGCACTGAAAAAATACTTAATGTCCATAAAACAGATTCAAAAGTATTATTCATTTTTAATCCTAATTTCCGAGTCCAAAATAATCTAGTTATTTATAACAGATTGAAGTCAATAATGCATTATTTTTAAATGCATTTATTAAATTTAAGTCTAAAATTTTTTTTTTATTATGTTAAGATCGACGCAGAGCCACTGAAGGAAAGAGAGGCGGAGCTGTATCATATATTGGAGTACGCAAACATGCATGGCTTGAAACAAATAAAGGGTATTGAGGATCGTCTGTACGGACTGGATCAGCTGTTGAGTGAAGTGAAGAAAATTGAACGCGATCAACATGACCAAGCTGCCTCTCTTATACAGGTATATAACTTTTTAATGGTATTCCTAAGTCTATTCTATAGTATATCAAAGTTTTTATAGAAGCATGTCGACAGTGGAAACGCACGATAAGAATATGTACGAACCACTGTCAAGTCCCGTCAGAATCGGTCCCTTCGTTCCGGAGATAACTCTCAGCAAACGCTACCTTACGGACAGAAATACAGACGGCCAAAAAAAAATTTAAAAATTTGTTTTTCGTTATCAGCAAAGCCAATACATCAAGTGCACCATTTTTTTCTCTATATTACATACACACCAATTTATTAATATTATAGATTCTTATGTGAAACGCGCAGTACAGGAGTTTATATTTTATTTTAATGTTTTCAGTACCGTGATCGTTTAAACACGGCCTGCGACCCGTCTGTGCTTCCAACGCTGGTGCAATCTCACTGCTGCCAGCTGGAGAAGCTGCTCAGCGGACACCAGGTGCTGCTCGACATCCGCCGCCGCATCGCCAACTCCAAGGATGAACTGTCACACATACTCAAGGCTAGATTGGAGTTAGTATATTTTTTATATTATAAGGTGGCAAAAAAGCAAGCGGCCACTTGAATTCGCCAATATGGCGAAGTGACCACTACCTATAGAGATCTGCAATTCCAGATACATTGCCTACTTTTAATTGATGGAGGTGGTGACACATAGAAAGATAATATTTTCCCAAAATCCACGGACTATATTTATATGTATACAAACCACTAATTAAATGAATGTTATAGTATTTAATGAACACGTATATTTTATATTGTCTTTATATTATTTAATTATAAATGTTGTGTTTAATTAGCTTTAATATCAGAGTATGTCAGTTAACTATAGGGCCCGTAGACAAAGATAACCGTTGAATTTTATGTTCTAACTTCAAATATTAACAAAGTACATTGGTTATAATGTAGTTGTAGGTGTGTAAGTGTGTAATATATGTGTGTTGGTGGCGGCAGGGCGGTGCTGATGATCGAGAACTCGATGTCAGTGCAGGACGCGCATGCGATGCTGTCGTTCCAGTGCTTCAACCGGCTGGCGCGGTACTTCGGTATTGTGGCGCAGCTGCACCAGGCGCCCGCTGTCTTCGTGCGTGCCGCTCATGAGGTCGCACGCAGGCGCGCCTTCTCCACTTCACATCTCAAGGTAAATAATACAGTATTTTTTTTTATATCATAAAGTGGTAAACGCGCAAGCGACCTGAATTCGCAAGTGCAGAAGCGTTGCCTACCTTTAAGCGACGAAAGATCGGACTCACAGAAAGAGAATGTTTTCCCTTCCTATGCATCCTCTGTCAAATCTACTTACCTTTCCCACCCTTTCCTTCAGAAAAATGTCTGGGAAGGTAAACAAAACTAAAATAAGGCCTCCAGAACGTTCAGTAATCAGACGAAACGCACGATTACTTCCATTTGACGCCTATCGTCTGAGTGGTTGATTGTATCGGGGAATTGGCCATTGGTACGGGAGCTAATGCTTTAATGATCTTTTCCACTGTTAAGACAACAAGTGAGTCATGTTGTCGAATATGCTAAGCTAAATTGGACATTGTAATTGTATCCACGGTCTATTGTTATTCAGTGGGCGACAGATCTCGCGGAGAAGTTGCAAAAAATCCACGAAGAGGAAGTGAACCGTCGCCAGGAGTTCAACTCCCTGTTCGAGGGTCATTTCCTGAAGAACCTGTTCCCCGGCATGACGGAGCTGCCGCCCGCGTACGCGACGCAGGCGCCCCCTGTCTTCGACGCGCGACTGCCAAACATCAGTGACGAAGATGTCGACTATATATCCAATACTTTCCCAGAATTAGCTAAAGATGTACCTCAGTACGATATGGAGACGACAGTCAAGTTCTTTCATCAAAGGTTTGTTTGTTTATAATTTTGATTAAATATATTTTAGTACAATAGTATTAAGTAGCATAGTAATAATAACTAAAATTTACAAATGCGTACTATATTTCTATACATTTTTATTAAAAATACATATTTCTTTCAGATTAACCGCATCAGATCATGAAGAACGAGACATCGATATTCAAGTTGACCTAGATAAGTACGTTCAAAGTATTTTAAACTATAAATATACTGTAGTAAAATTGAATTTATCTAACTAACTTTAATTATACAGGGACTTTGAATCGGAGACGGAAACAGGTGATTTCGAAAAGCTGAGTCGACAAAGCGGTTTGTCGAAGCAAAAGATGGATATATCGACGACGTGCGCGCCTGAAACTCTGGCTGTATCCACGTTGACAGAGGTGCGAACTCTACCGGTTATAATGGAAACTGACAGTACTCAGATAAATGAAGAGTTTGAAAACTCAGAGTTTTATATAGAGGAGTCGCTACCCTCCAGTCTGGATTGGGGCCGGCACGAGCGACAGGTGCACTTTGAATGTGTTATCAAATACTCCACTCATGTTAGATCCAAATATGTCAGATCATTCAATAATTTGGTTGTGGTTAATTTTCGGATAGTAATTATTAGATTTTTATTATATATATATTTACAATAACGCAAATAATATTTGGTATAATAGTTTTCACATATCTCGGACGCTCTTAACTACGTGAAAGTCGCTGCGCAGAATATAATGTTTGGTGTATTTGGGCTTAACAGGTTGCGGGGTTAGGGTATTGTGCGCCATTGAATTGAGCCTCCAAGATATATGAAAATAACTATATCAAAGCTATATTAATTTTATTTTTAAAAATTTTAATGACATCATGGTCTCATTTGGGTGGAAGTTACTAGTTGCTTTTCGTTGCTCCTGTCATCACCGGCCCCATATCAGTTATCGTATTAATTTTTTTGCTTTACTTTGTAGTTCTTATATGTTTTTATATATTGAAGTATACTTAAGAATTTAATTTTACATTACTTTTTTCAAGGACAATATGGATACTCATAAAATAAACATCGAAAAGCTGCAAGACTTTCTAAGTAAACTATGCAATCTTTGTAAAGTTAATATATTGTATATAAAAGAAGAATTAGTTAAATTAAAAATAGATATTGACGAACAGAAGAAATACATGTCCGGGAAATATTTGGAAGTTATAAAAGAATGGGAGAAGAGTAATTCCAAGGCAGCTGTAAGATTCCGAGAGCAGACACAAAGGCTGACGGTGGATCATGAATTGGAAATGAGCGATATGAAAGCGTCTCTAACTGATAAAGATGAAATAATTAATTGTCTTAAAAGAGAACATGAAGAAATTAAAATGCAACATGAAATTGATATAAAAAGATTGGAAACGGAGTGTCAGAGTTATAAGGAATTGGTTGAGAAAACTAGAGAAGAATTAAAAGCAGTGGAGAAGAATTTAGAAGACATAGAAGCACAAAAACAAAAGATGCACATGGATTTCAAAGCTGAAATAGAAGTTATGCGTTCAAGGTAAGATGGACATTAAATCTTACTAAAATTATAAATGCGAATGTTAAGATGGATGGATGGATGGATGTTTGTTTGAAGTTATCTCCAGAATGGCTGCATGGATCTTTCTGAAATTTGGCATAGATGTTGAACATAGTCTGGAAGAACACATAGGCTGCTAATTAAGTTTTTTTTTCACTCAGCGCGGACGGAGTCGCTGGCGACAGATAGTACTATATTAAATTTCTTTGTATGAACAGTTTTGAATGATTACTTCGTTCATTTTTATAGATTTAGGTTTGTAGCACTTACAAATATGGACAGATCGCCGTCAGAATCTAGTTTAGAGAAGATAGAACGTGCTGATGTCATAGAGATCAACAGTCACAACGCAATCGTGATGCAGACGAAGGAGAACGCGGAGGTGGAGAAGGAAGAAGCAGTCAGAGTCGCAGTGGAGAAATGTAAAGCGGAGTGTGAACAGAAGATTAGTGCAGAAGTCGCGCTGCTTAAAGCGAAATTCGAAGCTGATAAGCAGGTATTATATAAGATCAGACAAACGAATTTTATGAACTAAATAGTATTAAACCTTACATTATATCTTACTAATGTTATAAATGCGAATGTTTGGATGGATGGATGTTTGTTTGAAGGTATCTCCAGAACGGTGAATGGATAGCGGTAAAATTTGGCATAGACATAGAACATAGTCTGGAAGAACACACAGACGACTAATTAAGTTTTTTTTTAATTCCGCGCGGACCGAGATGCGAGCGACAGCTAGTCTTGTCATAAAATAACATATTAATTTAGGTGACTGTGAACGAGGTAACTCGACGCTTGCTGACCGAGAAGGATCGTCAGTTGGAGGCGGGGCGCGAGCGCGAGGCGGCACTGCTGCGGGAGTGCGGCAAGCACCGCGACACCATCCGACAGCTCACCGACCCCGACACAGATACAGCAGACACCATGCTTAAGACACAGGTGAGCACGCACGTATGGAGACGTACGTACAGAACGCACACGCACGTATGGACACATACGTAAGCACGCACGCGCACGTACGGTCATACATGCACACAACGAACATGCACGCATGCATATTTTACTCACACGCACACTTATAGGTACTTTTACCTATTTTTTAACGTATTTGTAATCCTGGTAAATATGTAAGAACATTTACTAATATTGCGTTAATTACTTGAGTAAATAGTTTATTAGAATCTGTAATATTTCGAATGATAATTGCAGCTTGCAACTCTCGAAAACGAAAAAGCGGCACTACATACTCAAATTGTGGAGCTAAAGAAAGAACTGGAAAAGAAGAATGACGAAGGAGACAAAAGTAGAGAAGATGACAGTGAAGGAAGGTAAGATTTCAGACTGAAATAGACGTTTATAATGTAGTGTTCATTTCTTTTAAAAAATTTGTTCCGTGATGTGTTTAGTAGATCGTCCCCGAAACGCGAGGAGTCGTGTGTGCGGCGCGGTCGCGCACGCTGCCACACGCCGTGCGGGCTGGCGGCGGGCGCGCTCAGCCTCTCCTCCTGCCTGCCCGGACATACCGTGCTGCTGCTCTGGGACCCTGCACACCTCAACTACACAGTCATGCAGGTCACTGTTACATGCACGCACTGACTCTAGAAATTAGAACTATTTCAGCTGTATGTATGAATAGTAAGAAATACTTGTAATACAGGAGGCGTCTATGATGTACTTCGTGCACAGCGACTGTCTGCCGGCATTAGACCTCAGCATCCACGTAAAGAACGAGAGCGAGCGCCGTCTTTACACTGTCGCCACCGTCGACTCCAAGGAGTTCTGCTACGCCAAGAAGGTATTGTGACTGTTGTTTATATAAGATTCCTTTTTTATGGGGCATGAGGCATATGAGGTGGCAAACGAGGGAGCCAACTCGGACTTAACTTACTTACTTATATTTCTACTGCACCCCCTTTTTTACCATGCCTTTCTAGGGGTGTAACAGGATTATATGACAATACAGTCTCACAGAGATAGACATTCGTAGATGTGTGACGCCCTTTTTAGTCTAGCGCCCAGGGCGGTCTCCAAACCGCGCCCTACCGTAATTTAATCAAGCTGATTATAAATATGTTGTTTAGAACGGCAACCGGTACCAGATGCCGCGCGGGTCGCGGTTCTACCGCGTGCGCGTGCGTCCCCTGCGCCCGCACCTGCCGCTGCCGCCCTGCTGCGACCTGCGACACAAGCAGGGTACGACACACGTACATACATACACATACATACTGCTCGAGCTATCATATCTAAATAGCATGTAATTTACTGTACTTGTTATATATAGCTTTTGTTTATATTGTTACTTTAATAGATAAAATATTCATGTTTTACTTATTATAAATTTGACTTTTATAGGTTTCATTTAGGTTTTTCAGATAGTTTAATAATAGAGAAACTATATATAATGTTTTGTATTATTACTGCACCAAGTTAATCTATGACTTAGTTAAATTTTGCCAATTTTCGGTGAATAAAATTAATAACTTTGTATGATTACTTTGTCATACATTTGTGGATTAAATGTATGAAAGGCTTCTGCTTGATACATGTGTTGCTTGCGATAATTGATATGTAGCAGCTACTGTGTGCGCTTTAAAATTTGTTAACTGTATGCTTTGATTTTGTTTCATTTTAAATAAGGATCAAAAGGTGTTTACTATTATTAATTTCAAAGGGATATTTCACTTAAAGCTTAAATTGTTGTGTATAACATAGTATGCACGTTAAAGGCGGGTACACATTAGACATATGCGTTTTGGCAACGTACACTCTAAGCCTAACACGGTATGTTGCATGCATGCAAAAATGTGATGCAAACCTAAAAAAGGGCATTGTAAAGACCTAAGTAAAGGTGATCTGATACTAAATGGATATACAGTCTATTTTATGGTACATGGTTCTTAAAGTACTAGTTTTGAATATTTTCGTTACAATTGTGAGTTTTATTGTGTACCCGCTGAGTGGGTGGTTGTTTAACGCGAGGCTGCGTTCCATTGCAGATGCAATGAAGGGCGGCGTTCTGTCCATGCTCGCTGAGAACAGACCGCTCAAGAAGTGGTTGACCTACATGCATGCTCCAGGTCTTCCGCCTTTATACTTCATACTTCACTATACATCGCTCAGTTTGTATAGATTTTCTTATAATTGTAGATTTTTTACGCACTTTTTTTGCTAGTACTGAAAATAGTTTAGATGTTTGATTTAACATTATGCTGTATTAAGTAGTTACAATACTCATTGTGGATGGATGGATGGATCACATCCAAACCTAAAGTTACTCCAAATACAGTTAAGTGTTTGCATCGACAATACAACAAAAAAAAGAAAAAAAATACTATAGGGATGTTTCAATTTGTTTTAAATACATTGTCTTATATTCTGATATTAATCAGTTTCCTTAAATTGCATGTTGTTAAGTTTAAAGTAATTTATAAGTTATAATTTTAACAGATATCCAAAAATCAGTGGATACCAGCCAGTCAACCAGTTCTAACACGGACGAGGCGTGTCGGGTGGGCGGAGTAAGTGAAGTGGGCGGGGTCGGTGAGGTGGCCACCGCGACTCTCATCAACCTGGAGTCCCCTGTGGCAGCCGAGGGCGAGGCGCAAGCGGAGGCAGAGGACCAGCTCGACTCCATCGAGGCTAGTGACCAGTGGAACAGCGCCAGGATGCATATGTCTACTGTCAGCGCTGTGTGAGTCATCACGTTTGTAATATATTAACATAAATTATATAGATAATGATAAATTTCCATCATGATAAAAGTTTTTGGATTTGCTTTTTGCAATGATGCTTTGCGTATCTTCGATTGCCTGAACAATATTTATTAATTGTTGTAAAATTTTTAGCATTTTCTTTATTATGAATTATGGGAAAAATATGACTTATAAGATGTATGTATTAATTTCTTATTTATTCTGTTAACAGTACGGACATGGAGTGCAGTGTGGGTCGATGCGCCGGCGCCGAGCTGGAGCTAGCGCAGGAGGCGGCGCCCTGACAGCGCGCCCCGCCCCAAGCTCCGCCCCGTGCCCTGCCCCATGCCTCTGGTACGCCTCGCAACGACATTACCTAGTACACACTGCGTACGTCACATAAATAATAATAATGAAACTGAACAGCTGACCATAACTAAGCTGTCAGTGCAAACCACAGATAACAGTTTTAATCTTAAAAGACTGTGTTGCCGTACAATGGAAAAAAAATTCCAGACTAATTTCTTAACATGCGGTGAATGTTATTTAGTAAAATAACGCATAAGACTATGTTATATTTGGCATTAAGCAATAATTATGTAAAAATTCTTCGAAGCTATTTTCATGTCAAACTTCACTAATTATTTATTAGTGAAGTGTTCGGTGTTTTTGACTGAAATTAATCGAAATGTGATGAGGACAAAGCCATCTAGTGATGTAATTCCCAGTTGGATGGTGACGGGATTATCTTTAAGTCATCAAAGCTTAGACTATGCTTTAGTGACCATAAATAGGGCAGATTTCAAAAATGGAGCAATGGACTCTATATATTTTTCAAGAAAAGAATTGTTGCCGATAAATTTTTGCACTGATTTAAGGATTTTTATGCAGTAGGGTAACTCGTTTTTTGAAGTAAACGATACAGTACGGGCCGCGTTAATGTTGAAAGTCGAAATATGACTTTTTTGTTGTGTCGTATTGCGACCAGTCGCATAATTTTGTCGCGTTTATAAGCGATGTGGAAATTTTTTACTTTTAGTCTATGGTAGTGATTACCATCGAAGTGATATTGGAAGCAATTGCCTGTTGAATAATAATTAATTATCCTAATTTATATATGGCTTGTAATTCGCTAGGGATGGCTCCATTTTAAGCAATCTCCTATATATTAACTTAGTTTTTAATTATTGATAAAGTTAATATTTTCTTATGCAGTTTTCTTATGAAATGCGTAAAATTATTTCTGTAATGTTTTTGAATGCTGACAACAAGGAAATGTCTTCCACAGGGAAGGTTACAAAAACTTATCATACGAATGAAACATAATTAGGTGTTGCCATAACAAAATTTCCAATTTTCCTATAATTAATTTACTACTATAACATTTTAAAATCTAAATCTTAAAATATTTAAAACTGCGACATTTTAAACTTATTTTTATTAATTTAATTAAAAAAATATATACTTTAAATTTTTTTTACTAATTAGGTAGGATTATATTCAATTGAATTATTTTTTTAAAGTCAACATTTTCTGAGTAGTACAAATTTTTATTTAATCTTCAAATAATTGCTTTATATATTTTATTATACGGAAATTAAACTTATTTAATATTTTAAATTTAATGTTTTAGTCTACTTTGTGTTGTGTTTTTTTTTAGTATAATGATTTAATATATTTGCGTGTCAAATCGATTTGTAAGTCTCTTGGTTAGTACACATTGCACAAAATTAACAGATAGCTACTAGATTTCTTTATTAGAATATTTGAGAAAAAAAAAATTATGACTCTTTCAATCTTTCTCTATCCATTAAGTCGACTAGCTTGATATCTAATCTTATATCTAAGTCATAGTAGGTACTAGAACGCGTTAGCTTTTGAGTTTATCATTTAAAACAACTCACGGTTACTACGCGTGGGCGACAGTGGGTACTAAATGTGTGAGCGCGTTAGGCTGTATGCAGGACACAATGACGCTTATATAGATCGATCTCGCTTCAGTTCTACGTTTTAGACTCTTTAAAGCAACTCTGGCACTTTAGGTATAGGGTTTAGGTGTTAAGTATCACCGTGTCTATGTAATCGCACGTGTTAGCGTCGCAGAACTGATAAGGTGAGTATAGACTAGAGTACTTGTAATAGAACAACGAGTTGCTCCGTGTATGCACGATATGTTCTAGCGTGTCACCTTTACACAAACCGAACGTAAGAATGTTGCATTAAATAAAGATGCTCGATAAAATGCTCTAGTGTGTATTTACCTTAAGCAATGCTTCATGTTGTTTGTTTGTGGCCTTATTGTAACGGCGCCCGCAGGAAAGCGATCTTTGTACAGTCAGCGATATATAAATGAAAACTTAGTTAATCGAAATCATTTTGCTAATAATTATTGACACAGATTCAAATTTAAATGTGTTTGTCATCTATCTAAAAGTGTTTGAAGTACGTGCCCATTGGCCATTAATTCAATTTTACATAGCGCTTTCTCCATCATTCGCGCCGTCCGCATCAAAAGACAAAGCAAATCTGTGCGTGTTTCGTCCGACGCGGACCAATAGATACGTAGTTAAGTTAATTTTCTTTATTATCACAGTATTCATATATTTCAAATTGTTTTTTGTATGTAAACGTTTCGGTAATGCGAATTCACAGCAACCTGTAAGTTTATTTTGGTTACCTTTAAGTATTTTACTTATTTATCGTTGACTGTAAAATGAAGTGCGTAGTGTTGTATCGTGTTGGGAGATAGTTGGGGTTTGCCGATTGCTGTGATAATAATTGCTGTGCACTCCTCGACACTTGATTTAACATTGAACGAACGTAAATAAAAGCATTGTTAATTACGTTTTCTAATCGGGCTACGAAATTTTTAATGTAAGCTTTTTAACGTTTAATATTAATGTCTTTAAATCGAAACGTCCGACGTAAAGAGTTACATCTGTTAAGAGATGTGACCTTTTTGGACGAAAAGAGTTACGTGCGTTAAGAGATGTAACTCTTTTCGTCGTTCGGCTCGAAATGTGTTCGGAAACAAGCGTCCTCGCAAGGAGAAAATTGTTTGTTGATATCACATAAGAAATAATAATCCGTTATAGTAGTAATTAGATGTACTAAAAACAAAGTGATAAGTTAGCTTATAAAAAGATTTTATCCATACAAGTTGTAAGAGCGGTTAGAACCCTCGACTTAGTTAAGGTTTTGGTTGTAATGATTTTATTAAATATTTTTGTGAAAACTAAACCATATTGTTATATATTTAAGAATGTTTAGTTCTATTATATTTTATAATTTACTAGAAATGGAAATTAATTTTTCCATTTTTTTAGTTTTCGAATGTGAAAATGATACTCGGATGGGAGTTAATATATTTCTGAATTAAACTCCATTGCCTTGTTATAATTACTATTAACATTTGTTATTTCATTTTGTGGAATTATTTTTCTGTTTGTTTGTTTGTTTGGAATGTTTTAGGCGATTGCAATATAATGCATAATAATTTTTTTAATGTGTGATCGCTTCACATACTATTTTGTAGTGACCAATTTTATCGTTAGAAATAAAAAAAAATGTAAAATTGACAATTTTAATGTAATTTTTATATACAATAAATAGACGATTTTGTAAAAAAATCTTGTTTTTTATTTCATTGACCTAGTAACCTGTCAATAACACAACATAGAGACAAACCTCTTTGAAACCTAGTCTCTAAACACTTAGCCTATGGAATGTACAATTCAATGATGAAAATATTTACAATTTACGTAACTATATTTACATTGATGTTCAGGAACAAAAAGCGGTAGCCTATCTACCTTGGGTCTGACCTTCCGGCCCCAATCAAGTTAATTTTACAATACTCGGATACACCGAATTGCTGTTTGAAAACTGATAAAAAGATTTGCTTGAATTTTTAGTAACATTATAATAGACCACCAAAATTATTTACTCCTTGCGTGTGTTGGACATCGAAGTGTGACGCGAAAGCACAATCTGAGTACTGCCAGGCCTGCATGTCCATGTTGTTCTGCGCGCAGTCCTGACCGTATCTGTAGAAGCGTTGCTCCTGCATATCCATGACGGGGGACTCTCGGCAACTTTCAGCCGGGTAGTACTGCGCTTCTTCTGGGTAGTACATTTGGTGTGGGTACGATTGTTGTTCGCAGAAGTTCTCGGGATGTTGATAGCCGTTGCCGAAGAGCTCCGGCGAGGGCGTCTCACTTGATTCCGAGCCTCCTGCCGCCCTCTGCCAATCCAACCAATACGCTTCTTCAGGTCTAGAGTTGTCGTTGTTAAGATCCGCGAAGGTAGGAGGCGATTCTAGGGTAGTTTCTTCCATAGGAAAGTCTAGCCTTATAGGTTGGTCTAGTTGGAAGATTTCCTCCGGGTGGAATATATCGTCGGCGGGAAGGGAGGTGTCGTACGTCTGTTGCTGAAGCGTAGGCGCAGGGGGTGCGGGCGCGGGGTACGTGGAGTAGCCTTGGGGTTCCGCGGGCCATGTATTGGCGACGTAGGGCTCGACCGGTACCTCCGTTCTCCATCGGCACGTGCATTCAAATGGACCGCACGCACATGTTAGGACTGTTGGAAAATGAAAAAAACTATTGATTAATTACGTAACGAAACACTTGCCTTAATCTATACAAATTGTAATAGAGACAAGTAAAACCATATCGAAGATAAGTAGTCATTCTCACCTCGTTGGTTGTCAGGTATTAGCGGCGGTGGCTGTAGATGTGTGCTGGTGACAATCTTCTGAGACATTTGTTTCTCTTGTTTCCCTGTGAGCATTTTGTCAGCAATAGCCGCCTCTCGTGCTAGCAGCAGGGCTAGTCCTCGAACTCGTCTCCCCGCGCCGATGGACCTGCGCACCTCGCTCGCTCCTTTGGCCTCGGGCCGGGGGTGGTCGTGCGCGCCTTTCGCTTGGAAGAATATCGCGTGCTCGGTGTGTCGCCAGAAGTGCGTTACAGGGTACCCGCAGTGACCGCGACACGGCTGGACTTCGAGACGACCGCCGTTGCATAGTCGGTTCGGACACGGTTTACCTTTAAAAATTATAAAACATGAGTAATGATAATGGCGTTGACCGGAACTAATAATAATATTGGGGCACAGATTTATGCTCGTAACAATAGCACGGTTAAATCTATACTGAAAGATTTTTATTTCTGTCTATATAGAATAATTTTTTTAGACATTTTGTTTTTTTTTTATTATTCTATTATATCTATTTCTTTTACTAAAATATAAGTAACGTTCTAAAGCTAGTATTGTATTTTTTTCGCAAACGTCTACTTCAACCGTTTCATCTTATATTATTTTTGGAGCTTTGAGAATTTTGAAAACTATTTAAAAAGTCGCATACATAAATAAATACCTTGTTGTTTCTTCCGTGCTTTATCACAGATGGCGGGCCTGAGATGCACCCTCGACCCGTCAGGCAGTCGACATCTAGCGGAGCATACGAGGACACCGAGGCAGCTCTTTTTGAGTATGTGAACATTGTGGTTGTTGGTGTTGCGCATGGCCCAGCCGGAGGCGTGTCGACGTGCCTCCTCGCAGCCGGGAGGGTAGACGCGGCGCACGTGGCCGTCGCACCACTCTCCAAAGCTGTCGAAGCTGCTCACCCGCGGCACCACCGCGTCGTTGATGTCCCACTCCGATTGACCCTCTGACATCTCCGATCGGCCGCTGTCAGATACCCCCAATTAGCATTCGGATATTTGGATAAACAATTCAAGTTGTTAAGCGAGTTTTGATAAGATAAACAAGCATTTATTAGTAAAAATGTACAACACATAAACATGCATCTTAAATAACAAAATAGGTATTAGGGCAAAATACGCGCTGCACCAAGGTTTGCGAAAACAGTAGCTTCCTAGTTAGTTACTAACTAGGTTCGTGTTAAAGCACTATTGTTATTTGCGAACTATAATATTATGTCAATTACAATAAAATATAATAAACGTATTGGCAGTTCACTTCAAAACGATTATATTATTTATTAATCTAACACTTGGTCAGACTTAGTTGTTAGGTTAATGAAACACAATGTATGGATGTAAAGAAAGTTTTGGTGTTCCCCTCGACGGGTTGATTGAGCCAATTGCTTCAAAATTGCCTCTAGAAGGGGCGGCCGCGCTTTAATTGGTTAAATAACTTTGTAAAAAGCGATCGCATGAGGTGGGGTGAATTTTAGCGATAAGATAATATAGAGTTACGACGCCGAAATTGAAAAAATACAAAATAATTTTTAAGGTAAACGAATTTTATGAATACATTTTCCTGCTTAATGTGTGCATGACGGATTTAATGAAATCGATCATTAAACGGATCAAGTCGTTGTTAGTGCTATTACTCAAATAATTTTAAGATATCTTGTGTTTGAAGAAAATTTTTATTTTTATTTCCTTGGAAACT